GCACAAAAGTATCTTTGGTCTCCTGCAGCTTGGAGAGCAAATTAAATATATTGAGTAGTTAAGATTACATTTCAAAGCAAGAAACAAGGCAGGAGCTCACAGGATCATTTCAACTGAGATCTTGCACTGCAAGGATCAGTTATTATTATTAAACATGACGAAAATAGACCGAAAATGAGTAGCCAGAAAGCAGGACATTTTGGCAGCGGTCAGAAACTGGGAAGGTTTTCCTGAGTAGGAGCTTGCAGGATGGATAAAGGTGGAAGCCACAGATTGGCACAAAACCGTTTCAGTACGTGACGGGATTAGAAATGGGAACACGCTTTCTGCCACAGACAACCCATTAGTTCTCTGTTAAATGCATTAAACCAGCCCCATGCGATGATTTCATGGCCGCCTTTAGTGCACAAACACAGGGGTACCGCAGAGGGTGGACGTGGTAGGTTTGAAAAATTGTGTCGCGTTCTTAAAGAGGAAAAGTTTCAACATCGATATCTGAACACGTGAACGTGTTTTCTCAGACAACCGTCCCTAAGTATAGTGAGGTCACCCCTCATATTCTCTTCCTTGCTGACCTGTAGATGCAACCTTGTACAGTAGACCACTAGCTTCCACATAATTCTACTTACAATTCATGTGAATGACATTCCATAAAGTGTCAGAGGGGTGAGGGAAACCATGCCTTGGTATGAGGGATGTGGAGAAAAGCCTTTTATTAGCAATTATATTTTCTTAAAGCTGCTTAATCTCAATAATAGCTATGGTGTTTCGGCAGCCATGTCCTTTGCAGCTAGCCTACCAAATGGTTCCCAGCACTGAGGATTTTTGCATACTTGGTTGAGAAACTATTGTTACTGTACCTTTCCTGTGGCAGGAAGAATTTCCTGGACATTAGCTTTTTTAACATCTGGCATAAGGACTCCTTTATCTGCCAGATCTTATTTCAGGATAACAATGATAAAAAATGTTGCTAATTTATTACTACCAAGGATTGGAAGTAAAATGGAAAATGAACTTGTTCTTTGGAAACCTATGTTAGTTGAAGGCAAACAAAATCATTTCCCTTGAGCAGAACTGGCTGCCTATGAACTATATGAAAGGATTTCACCCTGACTGAAATTTTCAGGATTCTTCCGGACAACAGCAAAAGGGAACCAAATGAAAAGCACAAAGACCGGACGCTAGCCTGTACCATTGGATCACTGTGCCAAGAGCAGATGTCTTTGCCAAGCTGGTACTCCCAGACTCACAGACCTGCACTGACAGGGGCTATCTGGGGATAAAAGTTGTCCACCTCCCTGTATCTCCCACACATTTTGAAGTGAGTGTTTGTATAAGGACAGCACTCAGACTACAGTACAATGATAAGGTGGGGACAGACCATTATTTTTCACCATTTAACAGCTGTACAACAATTAAACAGCTTTGCTTGTTGGATATTATTTTTAGATGTCTGACTATCTATGTTTTAAAATATGAGACTCTGTCAGAGGAAGTAGATGGTGTGACTATCACAGTTTTAGATTTCAGTTGTCTGATACATAGGGAAAGTGCAATGCTATCTGTGGTTGGGTTTAAGATCACAGCAGCTTACAAAACTTCTCTTTATACTTGAGACAGATAACTTCATAAACTGCCCTCCAGGTTTTCCTTTTAAATTTATCCACAATGTCATATTTGGGCACACTGACTTGCAAAATGAGCCCAGGAATCTTTAGATAACAGATAGCCACTGACATCCCAAAGATGCGCAGCCTGCTTTTCTTCAAGGTGTGGAACTTTTCAAGAGGCAGTCAGTAAAGCCCCAAGCCACAATTGGCTTTGTACTGCTGGCACTGTGAGTGTGGCTTTAGTGGCAGACATGGAAATGTGAGCTGATTCTGGGGAGAAGAGGAAGGTGATGATGAGGAGGAGGAGGGGAGAAGGAGGAGAAAGGTTTCTCTTTCCAAGTTCTGTCAGGGAGGAGGCAGATTCATGTCGGACTGTTCTCTGCTAGTGTTGCTACACAGTTTGGCTGGCCTAGGAGACCTGAAATAGGGATTCATGTAGAAACTCATACGTGTCCCCCAAACAGGGGTAGCTATGGAGTGGTGTTGCTTGATCCTTTTCAGTGAATCTCCTGTAAAAAACAACAGTCTTGGCAATAGCCAGGAAGGCAAAAATATTCACCATCAAACAATATGGATTATGGCATATTTAATGGGACCATTTGAACCCCTCCCCACAGATGTTAGCATTTTTCCTGTCTATCTCTCACAGACCTGTAAAAATGTTGTTTACGGGTAGTCATTGATGTTAGTTCTTTCAATAATTAACACAAACACTTGAGGCCATGCTGGGGTCATGTAAATATCAATATAGAGAGACTGCCAGTTTTCTGGGCAGCAACTCAGTAAACTGGTAATAGTTTACAGGGATGGAGCTTCATTTGTGTATCTTGGACTCAAGTGTTTCTAGCTTGTAAGTTTTTGTCTACATTCACCAATCTGAATTAAGGAGCCAGAACCACAGCTCATCTGTGATCTCCTCACCAGTGTGTACCCCACCTCTGTGCCAGGCAGAGAGCTTCTGCTATGTTCTCTTTGTGCTCATTTTTAACCTTTCTTTTTGGTCACCTTGAATGAATGCTCCTTTCAGGAATCAAGAGGGAGCTTCAAATTCAGATTTTATAGTCATCTCTTAAAAGCTATTCTGTTTTATCATTAAAAAATTAAGACCACTTCCCAAAATCAGCATGTGACTTTTTAAGGCTCAAACGATTCAGTTAGTTATCTAAGGTTTCAGATATCTGTGGCTGTCACCAGTCCGGATGGCAGCAATGTGGTGTCGGAAAGGTCACTGACAGTTCTGGAGCTGAGGTCATTCTTCCTAAAGTCTCTTTCCTTCCTGCCCAAGGAAACACAGGCTGGCGCTGCTTGAAATCTCCCTTCTACAGTTAACCAAAATTGGCCCGAAATGAATTCCACATTGGGAGTGCTCCCGTGGCCTAGCCTCTTAGAAAAGGCCTTGAATGGGCTCTTGGATTAGAGACCTGCCTCTGCACCTCGTGCCAAAAGTTATCACTTCTTTTAAAGGAGGGGCTCCCTGTCACTGTATGCTAGCCATATGCGTGTGTGTGTGTGTGTGTGTGTGTGTGTGTGTGTATGATTTTGCATCTATACTCACACTCAATCAAACACATGAAGGGATCAAAAGACTAACAGAAGACACCCGGATAGAACCCACACAGCATCTACAAGAGGGAGGGCAGCCAGGCTTTTGCCTCTCTTCCTTGGAATCCAGGCCACCTGGGCTGTGAGCCATCCTCAGGTGAGCGGTTGAGGAGGAGATGCCAGCCTCTCCTGGCAGCTTTCCGAAGCACTGTGACCTTGGCCGCCATTTCGCTTGTTCTTTCCCTTCAGATCACACCTGCTGCCTCAGATCCCGTACACCTGATACCAGACATAGTCAAAAGGAAAAGAAAAGAGAAAGCCTCCTCATGCTCCCTAATTCCCTTTGGTAGGAGCCTAGGCCCGCAAATCCATTACATAATTCCTACTTAGGCTGACACCTGTGCCTACACTGGAGCGAGGTCGAGTTGCAGAGCCTGTGCTGGGACACTGGCCTGATAGTATTGTCGCCAAAAGCAAGTGGTGGCTGAACAAAGTTGGGCTGTGGGTGGGTGCTCTTTCGTGATTAAGGTTGAACTAGGTCCTGGAGTGGATGTTTCAAGGACCTTCCACCTCCAAATTTAGGTTTGTGAAACAATGTTTATAAGCCCCGGGATTCACTCAGGTGGTGTTCCAAGTCCCTGAGTGTTCCAGCTTCGGGGAGCGCTCCCTTCCGTTTTCAAGAAAAGTGGACTTTGCATTAGCTGCGGGACTTCTCCCAAGACCTCTAATCTGCCTCCTCCTGCCTACTCCTCGTTACTATTGATGTTCAGTTTGTTGGTGCTCACAGCCTAGCGCGTAGATGGAGTCAGTAGCCCGACCCAGGCTGCCCTTGCTCTGGAAGGAGGGACAATGCTCCATTAGGGAAGTCTTATTCCCACCACAAAAGCGTGTTGCTTCTTGCCTCAGCACTAAAGGCAGTGTAGTGAGTGACCACTCGCGATCCCATCCTCTCACAGGTCGAATGTCCAGGTCTTTGGGGGACCAGATAAAGAAAGCCCAGTCCCTAATCTAAGGGGACATTCACAGTCTGCCTCCCCATGCCTTCTACCCATCACTGCAAAAGACGTCAAGTGAGATAAATATTTAGATCTGAATTACGATTTCTAATATTTTCCCCCAAGGAATTAAGAATACTAGACGTGACCCACCTATTAGAACAACACGTCAAAGGAGAATGTCATGGAGATTTACAAATTTGTACGACCAAGCTGGAGAGTTAATGCTGGAATACACACGGGCTTCGTTTCAAGCAGTTCTTCAGATTTCGTTGAGGCCTGGAGATAAGGCTTAGTCCCCCCTCCCCCATCCCGGCCGTAGGGGGAATCCTTGGGGGACTTGGGTTGAAAATACTGTAAAATTAAAGCTAGACCTCAGATTTTCTGAAGATTTCAGAAGTAAAAGTGTGCATGCAGCAAGAACCAGAGAATTTCCCAAGACACTTCGGGCCCTCTCACACCCTGAAACCAGGTCGATTCGTGGCGCGCATCCCCATCATTACCCGACTCTTCCCCGTTCTCTGTCAAAAGACATGAGAAAAGCCACCGTCATGTAAATTTCTTTCTTCTACCAATTTCAAAGACCTCTGGGAATGTCTAAATAAATGCCCTCCCTGTACACTTGTATGCTCCCAGAACAGTGCAGACCAGCAACCACCTTCTGCATAGCGACAGGCGCTGGAGAAAGTCTCTGTAAGTAGTATGCTGGCGGGGCCAGGAAGCACACTCCCAGCCTGCTAGAGGTAGGGCGTAAAGCGGCCCGGCAGAACCTTCGTTCTCGAAGAAAACCGTCTTCACCACAGCAACTTAGCAAGCCCCACCCAACAAAAGTTAAAGCATGATGGCACGATACCTTGCCCCGGGTTATTCTGGCGCCTGTCTCCCAATTTGGAAATGCTGGAAGTGTTGGGTTTGGGGAAGTTTGCTTTGGCTGGGTGTGAGTTGTCTATATAAGCCCTGCTGCAAGTACTGTACGGAGGAACCCGCCTTGATGGACTGGGTGTTAATTAACGGGAGGCTAATTTGAGCTCTAGAAGCCAGAGGCAGCAGGTCGAGAGGCGAGCCGCGAGGGGCCAGTGACCTCTAGTGGACAAGAGGGGATATGCAGCGAGAGTGAGCCAGCGGCGCCAGCCTGGATAGAAGAGAAAGCCGAGTTGCTGCTCCTAATTTTCCCCAATCTAACGTCAGCTTCAGCGGGCAACATAAGTACACGATTTAAGGGCAAAGACATGCCAGCAAGAGGGTGTAGAACAAGGACCTTAAGTCTTCGGAAGCATCTAAAACTTAAGTGAATAACACACACACATACACACACATGCCTTCACCGTTCTTTAAGGCAAATTTATGCAGAAAGGGTTTGCAAAGTGAGTATAAAAAACTTTGGTTGCTGAACCCAGAGAAAAACAGAGCTTAAAAGCTCCTGTTAGAGAAAGTTCACCACATCTGTTCTTGTTGTTGTTCTCGGAAAAGCTTAACTGGCTCAACAAGAAAAAGCAAAAGAAGGAACGACGTTTTTTCTAAGTTCATATCCCTAAATCAAGCAAGGCTGGACAAGATGGGAGCAACTGAAACATCAAACAGCCTTTTCAAAAATAATTTTCACAATGATCTCTCTCTCTCTCTCTCTCTCTCTCTCTCTCTCTCTCTCTCTCTCTCTCTCTCTCTCTCTCTCAGGTCTGCTTATTTCATCAGTTATAGCCAACTAGTGCCGAGGTGAAGAGGTGAAGTCATTTTGGAAAAAGATTGTCCTGGCACCATACAAGTTAAATACAAACTACGAACCTTGACAATTCAGGTCGAACTCTTGTTAAAAAAAAAAAAAAATCAAACAAACAAGCAAATCTAAATAAATGAACTCCCAACCCGACCCGGGGAAAACAAACCGGGCTCTTCCAGCTCAAAGCCCCCAAGCCAGACTGGTGTTCTGACCCCACTTGAGGTCTTGCAGTTGAGCTAGTCTCTCTTCCTCGCTTAGGGAGTTTGTGAGCATGGCCCAGTTTTTCTTCTTTCTTGGCCATTCTTCCCCCCTAGGCTGAAGTATGAATTAGTGGTCATTCCAAGGTGCTAGGAGCCTGGAAAGTCCCGTGGGTATTCAAGTTCTGTTCAATAGGACCAGGACACCAGGCTGTGAAGAGTTTACTCTTCCTAGGCGGTGACATAAGCTGCTTGGGAACGTTTTTCACACCTCAGGGACTAAGAGGGGCTGGAGCGCTTTTGTCCTGCTGCGCTTGAATCTACTTCCGAGTCGTATTTAGGGCCCGTTTTGGGGACAATCAGAGGCCGTGGGTGGGGGCGTCTCTGGTAGAGAGTAGACAGTTTGGTGGGAGAAGGAAGAGAGTAGCCCGGGATTGGTCGAGGCTGGACAGCATTGCTTCTCTCTAAACTTCTCTTTGCTTGGACCGAGTTGCATAGGTCAGACGAGCGAAAATTCACCCCTCCAGGTGGTCGGTGTTTGAAGCATCTTCAACGAAAAAGGGTGGGGGAGGGGCTGAACTCCGGAGATCAAGCTTTCCCACACCCTGGAAGACGGTAGCTCCAGTGAAAGGCCGGAGAGTAGTTAACTCTAGGGACTGGGTGTCACATCTCTGTGAGGGCAAACCTTTACCTGACAAGAAAGGCGGGATAAAGATGAACCCACAGACACAGAATATTTTAAAACAGCTGTATTTCTTTGAAGACCAACGAAGGATTGAGAGCTGTTGAAGCGGAACATGGCTTGAAAGTTCCACGGTTAAATCTACGTCACAACATAACACAGTGCCAACAGATTAAACTGAATTGAAAAAGAAAAAGATTTCATCAGTAAACTAACGAATCAACAACTCAATTTTAAAACATACAGACATATCTCTCTGCCTGTAATAGTGCCAAAAGTACCCAGAAGTCCTATGCTGTCCCAGAGTAAACAAAACATACACGACTCCAGAATCAAAGGACAACAAAAATCCGGAGGCTCTCAAACCGGGATAGATCAGAGTTCCTGCCACAGGTTTCAGCCTCTGCCCAAAGAAGAAAGGGGGCTGAACCTCTCTTGGCACCACTTGGGGCACATAGGGTGGGGCTCGCTGGATTGGAAACAGCCTACCTAAGGCTGGGGGACTAGGCATAGGAAATCAGCTATGCCCAGGTACTGCAAAAACGGAGTCCCCTGGGCCTTGGGCCCTCAAGAGCTTGAGGGTTTATCAAATCAGGTTGCCTTTTCTACGCTTTCTACCCGAGGCTGAGTGTCCCTTTCTCTATAAACTAGAACTTAGCAAGGGTGGACTTGAGTTAGCCAACTCCAAAACCCTTCTGAAACTGCAACAGGCCACTCGTGCTGACGCCACTTTAAACCTTTCTTGAGACATTCTGGATGGCTCCGACCAATAATAGCCCAAAGCAGTCAACTATGACTGTTCCTTCCCAGTGGCCCTCTGTTCCCGGCTGCTATAACCCGGCATTAGTGATCTGTGCCACAGTAGAGGCCAGACAATTTACCTATCAGTTTGTAACACGCAGCAAAGCGGCACTGCCGAAGGTTAAGGGACCGCCTTCCCGGAACAGTTGTGCTCAGAATCCCGGCAGCCTAGAACGATTTAGAAAGGCATGCATATTTAACTTTCAAAGCCTCACGACAGGGTATCCGTCCATCCTACCTATTTCCGGAGGTCCTCTATCTGTGAAAAGAACCCAGTAATTCCCAAACATGCTCGTTGGAAACTTTGATAGGAAAAAAAAAAAAAAATCAATCTGAAGTTCAGGATAGTGAATGATGAACTTCCCTGGAGACCTGTGGCAGTCTCAGGGTCACCAACTCTTGGGAAAGGGTATAGGCTACTCTTAGCGAGCTGCTCTGAAGGGTGGCACTACCCTATTCTACCTGTCAGCCATTGATTTCTTTCAATAGCTATCTTGGGCTTGAGTTACAGATTTTATATGAGGGGAGATGTAGAGAAACACATTTGGACTATTTAAGTTAATACATACACATATATGCATACAAATACATATTTTCTCCGGACTTTTACTCACACACCCTCCCCTGACATTGTCTCAAACTAGCTGGATGAAGGGGGTGGGTCCTCCACTCAAGCCCGAAGATCCTAAAAAATTGCAGCCAGTTTTGTCCTTTATTCTTATTCCACCTTAATCCGCGACTAGGATCTGAGCAAAGTATTTTCTTTGGTTGCTCCCCAGTGCGACTTGGAAGTCAAACTCTCTTTGGCTACAATTCTGGTTTTCAAACTATTCACTGAGAGGATGTCGAGTACTTCATACGGTCGTTAATAACCAAAAGGGGGAGATAGAGAAAGGTGACAGGGAAGAGGAAAGAGGGGTGAAGGAGAAGGGAGGAAGTAAGAGGAGGGGGGACTGCCCCCCCCCAGAAAAGTACCAGTGTATAGCCACATCGATCTTCCCACTTCCTAGGCTGTATTCCCTGTCTTTGACAGCCAGACCATCTCTGGGGTCACTTGAAGAGTGGTTGCTCCCCTGTGAGCTTCCAAGGCATATTTAGAATGCACCGCCCTAAGTGGATGGGGACCTGAGATTGGGGTCTGGCCGCCAGAAGAGCATACTTTAGGTCACCTGGGTTTTCTCTCTTTCTCACCAAGGGCCCCAGACCAAAAAGAGGTCTGCAGCAAAGGTCAGCATCACTCCTGTGAGCCCGAGGGAGTGGCAATGTCCTGCTGGCCATCTGGTCTGGATGATTTTTCCCTCGCTTATATCTTGTTCCCAATCTCTAAAACACACAGTATTTCTTTTTTTCATGTAGGCATTAATTTTAAAGAACCATAAAACAGTGCATAAGATAGTATTCACCTGTCTGTATACTCCTGCTTTTAGGACAAACTGCTGGAACTTTATTTTTATTTCACTTAATATAAAGAAATCATCGGAAAGGTGTCTGATTCATGAAGGCAAAGCATTTGTTATTTATTCAATACCCTTTAAGCATTAGGCATTGCACTAAATGCGTTTTTTTTTCTCCACAAAATTTTACACTAATTTATGAGCCTCTCCTTTTTTGACATGCAGTCCCGACTGTCCTCATTTCTTTGGGTACTAGCTAGTCTTGAACTCCTGATCCTCCTGCCTCCAATTCCTGAGTGGCAGGGTTACAGATATACATTACCATGGTTCTTGCAATCCAAATCCTGGCATCTTTAAACCCAAGGCAGAGCAGAGAGCTAGTCAGTGAACACTTCTATGGCACTTCTAAGTAGAAGCTCAACCGAGGACAGGTACATGTAATGAACTTGTCCATTAAAAAAAGAAAGCTTTGGTTAATAAACTGAACCAGATGCTATGAGTACACTAGATGGAGCTCACCATCAGTATGGAACCCTTTGCACAGATTTGTATTTGCACCAAAGCCAAAGACCTTGACAGGGGTCAAGTGGTTCCTAGAGATACTGTTAATAATGCCTGTTTCATGCTTTTATGCCTTTAGAAGAAATCCAGACTGAGTGTGGTGGCACACACCTTTAATCCTAGCACTCACGAGGCAGCTGGAATTCAAGGCCAACCTTGTCTACATAGTGAGTTTCAAGTTAGCCAGAACTATAAAGTGAGGTTCCACCCACTGACTCCCATCCCCCACAAAAGAAATCCAAACTAATAGTTCATCATGCTCATTGCCATTTTTTAAAAAATCAAACTTTAGGATTATGGAAAATTAGAATGGTGTTAAAAATGAAGTTAAATACCAGAACTTAAGATTATAGGGAAATTCTCTTCAAAATTATTGATTCTGCCAAACACACATATTTAAAATAACAGCACACCCATTATATTATGTCAACACACACATAGAATGTAATAACAATAATAAGTGATAATAACAATATTAACACAGCAGCAGCTGGGTGTGGTGGTATACACTTATAACTCTGAGTCAGGAGGCTGCAGAAGCACACACAGTAGGATAGCTTGAAGTTGAAGGGCAGCCCGGGCTGCATAGACATGTTCTAAGCCAGCCTGGACTAAGAGTGAGACAAGTCTTAAAAAAACATTTTAGTAAGATTTCATTTTGAAAATGG